AACAAATGATGATTAAACCGCTGGTAAAATCGTCTCGTCAAATGCACAACTGATTTCCATAACCGTTCCTCTTCAGGAGACATTTGGTTTGACATTGGAACTTTACTGTTATATTCCTTCCCCTAAATATATCCTGAACAGTCTTTTCATGATGCACGTTATGAATGTTCGTCCTCATTCAACACAGAACTGTACAAACAGTACAAGAGTTTGGCAGTGTAGAGCCCAGTGAGCCCCATTTTTCCCGATTTTTTCATGACTAACAGATTAACTTTAGATTAATAAAATTCTTAAAGAAAAGATTAACTGATTATTCCAGTAGCTTATGCTATTACAGACGCTAGACAGATTACAGGCTTGTCGTCTGTTAAATACTGAAAAGTGGATTTTCTACAAAAAGTAGCAACCTTTTCGATTTTGACAGTACCAATAGGCTAGCTTTCACTAGCATACTAGTACTCTACTACACTACTAATAATGTGTCGATGTAATTCACTGCCCATCAGACAGGAATGTATTTTAAGGTTGGAACTATCAAATCTCTACGAATGTTTCGTTATAGTTGAACAAGAACAAAGCCTCTTTCGTACGGTCTTCACGCAATGGCGCCGGACATGTGGGGCAGAACAATTTGGGATAAGCGAAGAGTATATCAGAGAGTGTTTAAGTAATACACAGGCATTTACTGGGAAGTACTCTACTTCATACAAGTGATGAGGGGCTCGTTTTCTCAGCGACCAGGACGAAATTATGCATTCAGCTGCCATTTAAGGGGAGTAGCGCGTCAAATAAATGTCAACGTTTAAAAATCTCGATAGAACTTACATTCTCGCCTCCAATCCACTGCGGTGGACCGAATCTACATGTATAACGCTATTACTAAAAAATGACAAACAAAGGGAGTGTTACGACCACCTTCCATACTATCTAAAAGTACGACCACACGAAAGAAAGAACGCAATGGGAAGGATAGACGTACAGTTAAGTCCATCGTTAGTCTAGCATTTGTCTCTTTGTCTACATGCGACGCCGGTGATCATCGATCAGTTGCTGAATTTACATAGTATCAGAAAGTCGGATGCTTTTGAAATCATCCATCGTAAGTGAAAACGGACCGAGACTTCAAACATCAGGTGGCTAAAACCTTACCCGCGTGTTTCAAAGAAATCGATGCATCTAACAGTTGTATCCTGGTAAACCTGGTATCACATCTTATCCCCCACTTCTGCGCCCTTCGTAACATGAACGCTCCAGCAGCACTGGTTACCCATACTTTGTGGTAACCACGTCAACTTAACCCACACACTTTCATTCTCAATTCCAAACAGCAGTAGCCGGTACTGATAATTTAAAAGCAGCGTTCTGCTGTGAGCAAGATCGTGAAAGTAGACGAGTGAATAAGCTGACAAAAATTATCTCACAATTTCACCAATTTCTTGTTTGTCCATCGTATTACTTAGTTAGCTGGCAGTTTAATCAACCACTTAAGGTTTTTGAACGTAATAGTATCATCTTCCCGTAATGGCTTGTCACCAACCTTCGTTAGTGATGGCGACTATTCTTGCAAAGAACAATATATGAGAAGTAATGAAATTATGGATACCAAAGCTGCTGCTTACCTTACAGGGAACGATCAGGTCCTGTGTGTCAGTACGCATTGGTCCACGAAAAAGATCGGTTGATTTCCAAGTTTTCAGTTCAGAATTCTCTACATCCACTCAGGCGGATGTAGAATAATCGATGGTCCGTAGATATTTATGGAAAGAGTACGTGCACGCCACAGAGACTTTTAGTAGGTTGATACACACTCTAACTAGTGCTACTCAGGACGTTTTGGAACAGTTATCATTGGACCAACAGAGGCAAACATTCATTCAAAATATATTCTGCCTTACGGAATAGTTTATTACTTCAGTACAGTGCTGTAATTGTCAATCGGTCCGAATGATTATAAAATATTCAACTCATGATCCTAGTTGACAGTAGAAGTGGTCAGATCCACCATTCAACTGAGGAACATGACTTTGAAATTTGGCATTCACTACGGGATGCAAGTTCGCATTCTGCTTGATTTTCCGTGTCTAAATCACGTAGTTTTCCACCCAGCTTCGCAGTCACGCGTCAATAGTGTCTTTTAACTTTTGTCTGACTGATTTTGTTGCCGTGAATTTGTAGAATGTCAGGTTTCACTACAAAACTTTGAATAGTCAGAGAAGACTTGGCTTTGGTGATATAAACAATTATTTACAAATTTAAGATGAAGTCAACGAAAACACTTGTTTATCATGATCAACAACTTAGTATGTTCCTTGGAGATCGCTTCACCTTTTAGTCAAAGCGTTATCCAAATTTGTTTTGATGTGAAACCACATATAGGGTTGATGAAAAATCCCGTACAGGCTTTTTACTTTTCTTGGACCACTGAGCAGGCCTTTCTGTTGTGTACTGTGTTGGGAAACAGTACAAATGAGATCTTGATTCGGGCTTCACATAAGCACTATCATGCTTTTCCAAATGACTATCTATATAGATCAATACAATTTAAAAGGAAGAAAATTAGAGAACTAGACCCAGAAATGGGAAATTCCGTATTGGTCCAAGGAGAGTACTTACCAGTCTTCAAAGCAACATCAGTTCAGATAACTAAGTCTGTTTTTTCTGCAAAATACACTAAATTACATAAGAATATTGTGTTGGTCAAATGTGTGAGGTATAAAACGTTCCATTGCCGAGTCATTGAAATTAAAAGCAACAGTACTTAAGTAGACGTAACTTTCTTGAACAAGTGGAGGTCTTGATTTGTCTTGGAGCTTATTTACGCCCTTTTTGTGAATATGCAAATGATCCTGGAGTACAAAGCTTACAAATTTTACGGAGAGCTCCCAGTGTCCACAGTTTCATAAGTAGAATAGCCTTACTTTTCAGGGTGTGTTGTACAAACCGCTAAATTAGGTGAGGTCATTTTGGTTAAATGCTTTGGAAAGAGTAATGAGTGGTTCGTTGGAAAACGCTGGCTGATCCAGAACGAAGCACGCGTACATAGCTTCGGTGCATAGCTAGTCAACAAGATGTCGTTGATTGGGGCCAGCACGCGGTGCACAAATATCCCACGATGAAGTGCATGAAAACGATCACTAGTGTTCTAACTGAGGAGCCCAAACAGTACCACTTGGAGGTGGCAAAAACTCAAGATGGACATTCTCCATCACAACTGACGGGTAAGCTCGAGCTAGAGTGACAGCGACGTGGTACTAGATCTGAATATGTTCAGCTAGTCTTACTATATTTGGAGAAGCATAGAAGTCACCAGTGAGTTGGTATGCTTTGCAGACATACAGATCACAACATTTATTCACTTACTTCGCGAAGGAAATAGTGCTTTTGAGAGAAGTTGCGATAAGAAACCTTTAGAAATTCAATGAGAAATGCATTTTGTAGACCTTCGGAAAGTTATTCTAGGCTAATCATGATAGTAAAAAGTAGAAAACCGCCTTCTTACTTGAGCCTACTCACTAACCAGAAAAAACGAATGTCGTAAGCAGCCAACCACCGTTTTATCAATAGGTGAAATTTTATGCAATGTCATAATAACATCAGAAACTACTGTTATCCTATGTAAATTTCTGAAGAATCAGTTGAATTGTGGGCACACTAGTTATTGATCTTCTAGAAGCGTCAGCCAATATTAACCGTTTTTGCTGGTTGGGTTAGTTAAGAATGCATTCTCGTGTCGTCTACTTTGGAGACGTGTTTAACTAGAAAGACCATTAGTTGGGTCTTTGAGGGGACAAATTTTTATCAACTTCTTCCAGACCACCGGATGTGTGGACCGAAAATAAATATATGCGGGGCTTGGAAATTAGCTGATAGCTGGGTACTTCACAGACTTCCCTTAAGTACTCATTTACTGTTGAGTCGAGCTTATATGATCGCCCTGAATACGGTGGACCAGAATCTCTGGGACAAACTGATATGAATCCTCTACTGGGAAGAAGTTAGGTAGCTCAGGGATGTTGAGCTGTTCGCCATTAGCAAAGACTGATTTGATCAACGAAAAGAACAGCGACCGAAATTCAATGAAGTTTAGTGAATGACCAGTTTTAAGTAGATACCATATCTTGCAGAAATTATGACCAGCAGAAAATATGACCAAACCGTTTGGAAAATGCGTTTGTTTTAACCCATTTAAGTATAGTCTTAAAGATGCAAATGCTTGTGAGTTTGCCTAGGTTTAGTGCACACCGTCACTTACAGTAGCTTCGTTGAAACCAGAGTGACCCCTCGCCAAAGAATCTATAAAATTATCTTTCTTAAAAGGTTTTATCGAGTAAGTTCACCAAAACAAAGGGTAAAATGCCTCACCTTACCGCAGCGATTCATACCCGCTTTAGTTCGAGTAAATCTTGAATTTCGCTAAGTGGCTGAAAAATAATCCAATAAATAGTGTGTCGGAACAAAACGTAAACAAATACCCATTCTGTATTTGACTGGAAGAAATTTCTTTAAATCTGCCTTCTTAGCGAAGTAATTTTGACGCAAATCAGGCATAGACGGAACATGTTGAGAAAGCTTTCCTAGCTGAACTGCTGTACAGCGATTCAGAGGATCTAGGGTGGGTCTCTTAATTGTACGTTAAACTAGTATCTTTTCCCTCTTATGGTGCACGATATGAAGGATAAATTTTGAAACCAATAAAAAATGAGGTCAAAATTTTACCTGTCTGGGGTTTATCAAATGGAGGAAAGCTGTTCAGTGTAGTGTGTATTGCAAAGTCTTAGATACGAGCTTTTTTATAAATAACCTGAAAGCCTAAGATGAGGACTCCGATTAGCTTTTCCTACCAAACCACAATCGTTTTGGTTAATTTGAGTATGAGAACAAAACAAGGTAAATGGGGCTGCAACTAGAACTTGTGTAGATCATTTGTGGCGAAGCTTATTGGGGAATTGAACAGTCTGGTCACTTTCAACCTCAGAGCCACGAAACTAAAAGCGTCTTACGAGAACCAAAATCATTGCAAAATGGGAGTGCTTTCTTGCTTGTGAGCATCCAGATTTGCAAGTCATAATCCTCTAACCTCAAAATGAAGCAGTGATGTCGTATTGGAGTCACCAGAACTGTTGATTTCAACTGTTTGTTACTGGTTCATTGAAAGTGCTTGAAAGCGGACTGGATTGAACCGACGAAATTTGTCCGCTAAAATGTACTGCATACAGTTATTTGTCTGACATTTCGCCCTGAAAAAAAGCGGACTGATTGAACCGACGAAATTTGTCCGCTAAAATGTACTGCATACAGTTATTTGTCTGACATTTCGCCCTGAAAAAGCTAATATGTCGAAAAATCAGGTGCAAAAGGATTACATTTCTCCCAGTTTTAATTTTAGACCTGAGCTGCGAGCACACTTTGATTTTCAATGATGGTGGGTACTAACCATTCAGAGTGCCTAACTCTTGATGGGACAACTGTGAGAGACTAAATCCGTGCTTCCACGGTACATCCTACGGTCCACCCGACCAAGTGAATCTACAAGCAGGAAATTATTTTTAATAAAAAAGTATGAAACATATATGTATGTTTAAATCTATTTCCCAGTGACTTTGCATCAGATACGACAAACAATAGACAGATTTTAAATCACAACAGAACTCGCAGGCTGTTTTCCAAAATCGGGTCACTTTTCAGTTTGAACTGCAATCGACCTTACGTTTTCTTTGCACAGTTCATGTGCTGCTGCAATATACCGCTTCCCATCTCGGGTGCAGTGGAATAACAAATAATCACAGATTATTGAAGCTAAACCTAGAAGCGCCAGATTCGATCCGAAAGACATGGTGAAGATGAAAAGGTTGAAACGTGCCGCCTCACCATCAACAATGACCCAAAACTGAATTCCATTCACTCTGCTAAACAGTCGGCTATTCTTGCTGAGCGGACGACGGATTTCCATAGACAAACCTTCGATATTAGATTTATGATCGTAGAGACCGTCGTCGCTCCCGTCCAGTTGATGGAAATTGTAACGTGGAAGACATCGTTCAATGGGGAGGTCCAAATCACAGTTCCATTCTATTGTTATGGCAATCACTCCACCATGACGCAACAAACGGTACGCGTTTCCGCCACTTAGATCCAGCATATCTTTAATTCTGAAATTTGGACAGAAACGATCCTTCTCGTGCTTTGGGTTGTACAAACAGGTATTCAGATAAGTTTCATTCATCCATTTTAGGATATTTTGTGAAGCTTTTTTAAAATAGGGAAATTCTATTGCATTTTTGATAAATACGGTGTAGTTTAGCACCTCACTTATGGGCTTGAACATACAACCGTTGACAATTTCATTGGACATTGTGCTCTGCAAGATTGAATCGTTACATCCAACAGTCGATTGATCGGGCTCCGGGATGTACGCTCCACAGTATAAAGAGTCTAAATCTTCTTGAACTGGACACCATCCATATATTTCACAACTTTCTGTGGCTTGACGGCAATTTCCAGTAAAGATTCCATGTGCATCAGCTTCAACATCTAGTTTCCATCCATCTGGTAAGTAATCAGCAGGACTTCGGATAGACTGTCCCCCTATATGACCAGAAACACAGTGGCTATCGTGCTCACAAAAGGCATCTTCCAAATTTCGCGCTTCGGCACAATATCCGTAATGTTGTGTTGTGTAGCCGATGATTCGTGTGATGATAAAGAATCCAGATTTCTGTACCGGCTGCAGTGTAAACTCGGCTTCGTCGATTACCCACAACGGCAAGTCACCAATTCCAGTGGCAACCGTCCCAACACCACGTACTTTTGTCATCACACCACTTAGTGCCGTGTCTGTCCGTTGATAAGACTTGTTGCACCACATAACGAATATCAAAAAATAGAAAAGCAATGAAAGGCGCAATAAACAGTTTAGGAGTCCAACAGCTCTATTCTTCACGCGGACGACTTTGGGCATGTCATAGATGAACATGTTTTCGAGTACTTCACCAAACCTTTTTTGCGTCCTATCCTTCGCCGTTCCATTAGTGTTTGCATTTGGTTTGGGCATGTGTACGAATGAGACTCAATGAGGTAGCTGTTGCATGTCAGGCAATCGTCCCGTTTATCCGACATCAGTCGATTTCAACTGGCCAAGTCACTGTGAATGGTTAGCTTGACATCGAACAGTTGGCCAGACCACCCGCCTGAAGAGTAAGCGTTCTCTGTTGCACGTGACGTCGGTAGATGTCTCGAAACAAGTGAGACTGTAACATAGGGTGTCCGTTGCGCGAAGCGGATAGGTTAAGTAGGAGGCAAGTTTGGTCACTTTTTGTGACAGAAGCTGACTTTCAAAAAGGAATTAGGACGCAGGTTCAAAAATGTAGTTTTCACATCCAACACTCTGAAGTCAAAAGAACTGGGTTGGTCGCACGTCAAATATTTGAGTAAAGCGGCACTGAACCGAGTTGCCAGTTCGTAGTAATTCCTTAAAAATCATCGACGCACAAATACACGGGCCGAAAGAATGCAGGCAAAATTGACAAAACGATCATTCTTTGACTTGGAAAACAAATTCGATTTGAAGATGCAGTAACCAACATCTGAGACTAAATTGTGCTTACCGTTTATGGCAACCGCTAACTACATGTACTGCCCAAAGATCATCTCATGTTCCAGTCCTAAACAATACCAAGATAATTTTTCTGATCGACAGGCCATTAACGTTTCAATCTGTTCCTGGCTCATCAAGTAGGCTTAGTCTTCGAATTCCCATCAGGCTTGTTCCGTAGTTCAAGAGAGGAATAGGGATGTTTGTAAGTAAGCATTCAGTTACCAATTAAGTTTATGTGACTGGACAACCAGGAAAATCTCAGCTGTTTCTTCTCTTCAGAATTTTCTTCAACCAGCCATGGGCACAATACTCCTAAGTCAACCTTGTATGCTCCAGAGTATGCTTGTTTCCTCTTTTTCTATACTTTCTAAATTCAGTACTTCGTTCCCTTGGGGGAGCATTCTGCAGCCATGGATTCGCCAGAGTTCCCCACATTGGATGCCACATCAATACTCTTCCGCAACCAGGTTGCCTGTAGACCCCGTTAAAGTTTTCTTGGTTTTTTTTATATGGGTATTCTGGCACAACTGACCAAAATCCAAATACATGCTTTTATCCTATTCAACAATTTTAGCGTGCATACGAGCCCCGAAGTAAAGTTCCAGACGAGTCGTTGTTTAAGCCATAGTTCATTTTTTCTCAGATTATGGAAAATAAGTTAAACAAAACAAGTTGAAGCTGGTGTCGGACTGTCTGTAAAGCTTAAGCAGTTGCTCTAGACTACTTATGTAGAAAAGGTGATCAATACTCTTCCAATGCTTGATCGGCCTTACTTTGGACTGCAACTATTGGATGCGCCCTATAAGTCAAGTGGACCCCTTAGATGAGTCTGATATTTTGAGGATGCGAAAAACATCTGGAATCAGAAGCCTCAGATCAGCCTAGAAAGTTATTTTCAGATATATACCACGCCTCACTTGGGAAAGGACTCTGAATCTAGTGGTATCTACTACAAAAGAAACTTAACAAATGAGGAATTTTAGATTTTTTGTATCACTTGGTAACAAGGACTTATTCCATTCAATTGTTGATCCGTTGATGTCAAAAGTGAATTGTATTCCGCAGCAAAAGTCGGTTGAATAGAAACAACGAAGATGGAGCAAAATGAAACTTCACCCTTCAGTTATATCCAAAATTGGATAGAATGTACCCGATGTGTCGAGAATTATACGACCATTATGTTAACAGACGCATGATACTTTAAATGCGGTACATACTGTGATTTTTTTTACTAAAAATATGTGTTGTTCTGCAGTGGCTAACTAATTTGATCGTCCTGGCCTTCTTTACATCTGACCTGTTTCCGATTCAAGCCTGCGAATAAGAAATAACAATAATCCATGCGGCTTGTATCAAGTAACGAGCAAATAAAAGTACAGTTTACTGAACTCAGTACCGTCAGGTGGCGACCAGTTTCTGGTTTGGCTGTCGAAGTTTTTTAAGAATTTATTTAGCCATTTAGTTAGTTATTTATTTCACTTACTGTCCTCAGAAAGCTCGCATTTACTCGTTTCTTTTACACTTACCACCGCCCAGTACACCAAAGCTAGGATCGGATCCACTTACTCGCTCACATCTAAATCATCCGTAAAGGTGTATCTTCTAGAAAATCTACCAACCAACAAAAGTGGACAAGCCAGAATCGAAGAACCACGCTCAGCAAACGAGCGTTCATAGGACATGTTTACTGGATCAAGAAACATATAGCATCCTCATGTATTTTTTCGATGACTTCCTGGCATAGGTTTTTGCGCACTCCAGATGTGGCACTAGAATAATCTATTCTCCTCAGTAGTATCTGTCAGCAGGTGTTTGAGGAATAATCAAAATCCAGCTTTATTCCTAAGAAGCACTGATAGTGTTGCAGCTATGATCTAAAAAGCGAATACATGGTGAAGAACATGGGTTTGCGCCCCACCTAGATAACAGTACGTTGACAGTGCTCAGTTTGTCCCAGATGCTTCCCTTGGGTTTCAATAGGGACACATTACATCATATACCGATTGCATTCACTGAAGCCAAACTCCTGCAAAGGTGTAAATTTTGGTTTATTGCGTGTCAAAAGATATTTCGAACAGTAAGATATATGATATTTCGTGCAAAGAAACCATAACTTAGCTGTAATTTATGCAACAACTGATCTTGGCGGCAATGCATTTCAAGTTTACTCTTGAAGCAAGTGGTGCTATTCACACTGCCCCCGAAAACCCGCAAAAACCACGCCGATGAGGTTTGCGTCAATCACTGTTTTTCTTCTTTTAGAGTTGCTAAAATCTGGGAATAATCAACCTAGAGTGTTTTACCGATTGATAGCAGAAGTTGTCTCGCGGATTTCACCTTTTGTTGCATGCTACATCTTTACCTAGCCTATTAAATCAAAATAAAGCTGCTGAAAAAAAAGTTGCTGAAAAATCCAGACCCTAGATGTCTAAGCTGTTTCGAAATTCAGAATTTGTCAAGCTTTATTATGCGCAGAGTTTTTAAAAAAACCTTTACTTCCCAGGTAAATTAGGGCGACATTAACTTTACTCAACTAAGGTAGTCTCATGGCAATCTCTGTCTCAAGACGGTGTCATCTATCTCACATAAAATTACTTCATTCCCATCCCCTGAGATTGTCTTTCAAATGAAAAATTTCTTAAAAGATCATCTCTTGACTTTTCAACGAAGATCACCACAGCGCCAAATTCCAATCCAAAAACGACGGGATTTCTAACATATTTTCATGTACTCCTGTGTATTCCTGTGTATGTATGAAGTATCCCTGCGTCAGTCAGTTACCAGAATAGTTATGTAAATAAAATTTTGCCCCATTCAAGTGAATAAAGGCGAGCATAAGGTATATGAAGAGGAAATCGAGTGAGAGGCGACACTGGCTACCTACTAAAGAACAACTAGTGCAGATTACTAATAGGATGGATGACTTGAGCTTTTCAGTGGAGGCAGTGCTGCGGCTATGTTCAGCAAAAGGTGTATGTGTGGGGGACGTGAGTTGGACCGTGACAAGTTCAACACCCGAACAAATCGTTTTTGCCGACAAAGAGTCGGATCTCAATGTCGTATTGCGATAGTTTCAGTCCCTGCGGTTGTGCGTTGCTTCACTGATCTGGGTTGCTTAGCCGGCGCCTTGTGAACAATGCGGAAACTTTGGCTGAGAAGCACGTTGTGCACCGTCCCTGCTAGATGTTGTACTACTGAGCTGGTTATAGTCTTCCTAGTTCCGGAAGCTAGTCAGAGTGAATGTGTACCTTCATTTTTGCCCGAGCTGCCTAGTCGTGCATCCAATGTATTCCGCTGCAAAGCGGCAAGAGAATGAGTACACTAACATACTTTGGGCGTGGACAGGCACTCTATCTTTGGGATTAAGGGAATACAGACGATTGCGTGTGAACCATGTTTGGAGTATTGCGGCCGGTACAACTGTGTTCAAACTGGCAAATGTCTTTTGTTCAGTGATTCGGTCGGTATATTTCCCATGAACGGGGTTTCTTTCAACTGTGGAGGTATCACGGTTAGCTTCTATCCTGCTCAGATAAAACTGTCGTTGAACCCGTTATCTCTCAGAACGTTAGTGAGAGTTGGGATTTCTTGTTCCAGCGCATCATCAGCGCGCATTTCCTTCGCTCTGTTAGCTGGGCTATGGATGAGATCCCGTTTTTGCTTTTGCTCTGCTGTTAAACGTTAATTTAGTGCCCGGGCAAAGTAGGTTTTGATGAGAGAAACTTCATGAGCAGCTGAAGTGTGAGGGATGAAAAGGTTACCTCCGCTGACCTCCTACACAGATTGATATCAGGCTTCACGGGCGAAAAAAACTCGAAAAATTTCGAAATTTTGATGCAACATGGGAGCTATCGGTTCTTGTACTGTTGCCACCAGATGAGCAAACTGTCCACCCATTTCGGTTACTGGATATGTCATATCTTTGCAGTTTATTCCAGCAAGCTTAGGTAGGTGGAAGTTGATAATAAAACCCTAGAAATGTTTATTTTTCGGAATACCGTGACAGCATTTAGGTACCGCACATTTAGGTAAAAGCCTATTGCATCGACTGCCATTCTTTTCGGATACTTATATCAAAGTTGATGAACTGCTCGCTAAGTATGAGTGGTGTGATACTATGAATATAGGGGCTTCCCTCGAAATGTCTTCTACAAGAGATACGCCCCGTGAAGTTGGGCTTGAGGACTTCACTCAGCAGAACAACGCACGTCTTGGACTGTTCGACAACTCATGATTTCCTCCTGGACACAGAAGCGCAAAAAGTACTCATTAGACTTATGTCCCTCTGAAACATTACCCTTTAAGCCTGCGTATCACACTAATTTGTCCTACATGCTTTTGTTCATTGAGATAGTGAATGAATCGTGGATCAACCCTTAGTCTTTCTTTAAATTCTAGCAATTCCAGTGAAGGGAAGCTGCCTTTTTTGTCGAATGATATGGGGTTACATATCATCC